CCTGCCACAGTCTGAGGGAACCGGAATGAGCAGATACACCAGGTCTCACATCTTAAGTATATATATCATATTCTATTTTGTATTCATGTATTATATGAATGAAATGAATCTGTATTACTTGTAAAAAAAACATTTATTTGTGTGTATTTGTATAGATGTTACAATTATACATAGCTTTGGCAATACTGTATGTAAATATGGTCAGGCTAATAAAGCTTTTGAATTGAATTGGGGAGAGAGAGAGAGAGAGAGAGTCTCCTGCTGGTGTTTCCCAGCTGCTCTGTGGAAGAGAGAGAGAGTGTGTGTGTGTGTGTGTGTGTGTGTGTGTGTGTGTGTGTGTGTGTGTGTGTGTGTGTGTGTGTGTGTGTGTGTGTGTGTGTGTGTGTGTGTTTGTATTTACAATAATATGTGATATAAGCCTGTTGTTATAGAAGAGAGCTGTAAAGCTGTTCATGTGGGTTGCTTCTATTTCTTTCATACTCTGTTTACATGATATGTATACAAGCATATTGCATCATTTCACATTCATATGCCAAATGCTTTAGACATTCCCTCCCACTTGTTTGTTTTCTATAGGGCGAGTCAACTTTGATGTTGCTTTGATTTTGTGGTTTACCCTTTTGGAAATCCCGCAAAAACACTGCATGGAAATCATTTTAGATTTAATATGAAACTAGATTCATGCCTAACTTGCTTCTTTGTTGTCTGCAAATAGATCTTGGGTTGATCTGGTAATTATTCCTCAATATGAAGCTGCCATTGGTTACTACCGTTTTAGAGCTGCAAATTGACACTTTTTTTGATCATGTGTTAGAAAATAAGATATATGTGACTCATGTTCTGTATGTTAAATACAAAGCAACAACTAGTAGCTGGGTATCTTATTTTAGCATTATGACGTGTGGCTCCAGTTTTGGAACCAGTTGGCTTTTGGTGTGATGATTCAACCTCTGGGGACAAAAGTCAATATTATTTTGGGTTTGAGTGTAGCAGACTTCCTCTACATTGCTCTGATCATAGTTCACAGTCCGATGGCAAAGGCAGATGCTAGAACAGAGTTAATAGTTGGGAGACAAGATTCTTTCAAAAGTAAATAATTAGCAGATATATTGTCATAAGACAAGATTGCATTTTGCGCTACACAGCCACTCATTATTTGCACGCAATCAAAGCCCCTTCAAATGTGATTGATCTTCTCATAAATGGTAGAATGTAAATGGAAGATGAAAAGCTTCTCGTACCCTAACCCTGTCCTGTCTGCCTACAGGTACTACATAAACATTTTAATATCTGTTTATAGAGATTATCCTGGCACTGTCAGAAGATAACTAATCCTGCCTAGCAACACCGTGAATGACCTTGCATTGATACAGAGCCTTTCTATTCTTCCAACCACTCAAAGGGCTTTTATATAACATGCCAATACCTTCATAGAAACATCTCATCATGTCATCAAATACTTATTCACACACACCCACACATCAATGGCTGTGCCTTGGGGAGCAATCTGGGGTCCAGTATCTTACCAATCACTTGGTATAAAGCACCTCCACATTAGCTTAACTTTCTGACTGTGCAAATACAAATAACAAACAACATATCTAAAGACGCTGGCTTGCTGAGAGCGAGACACTGACGGATGATCGACCTCTACCAGAGTCACACCAAGCGGCACACAGCCACACCATATACAGTAAGGGGCATGTGTGCGTTGTTATGAAAGGGAAAGGGCGGCTTAAACTCTCAGTGTGTGTGTACTGCAGCTGATGAGAAAGCACTATCCTGGAAGTTTGCATGTCTCACACACACACACACACACACACACACACACACACACACACACACACACACACACACACACACACACACACACACACACACACACACACACACACACACAAACAGGGAGTACTGCATGTCTGTGTTCAGTTTTATTGCTACATCACATTTCAATCTAAGCAGACTAACACAAGAGTGAATGAAGAGATTTTCCTGACAGCCACTGATTATAGATGTCTAACATGGCTGACACTGAAGCAGGCTGCATACAGATTTATTCCCAAAACTGTGAAGACTTTTATAATTTTGGGAACGCAATACAATTAACAATTTTAGAATGACTTAGCTTTGGAAAGCTTAATATTCTTCTAGGCGCCTAGATCACATCAAATTATACAAAATACTACATGTGTAGTATTTTGACAGGGGAAAGAGAAACATATTAATATGTAATACATGAAATAAAAAACATTGAATGCTGTGAAGGATCTGACAGTTTGAGCCAAGTGAAATCTTGACTCCTAGCTTTCTGGCAGAACCAATCCATATCTTGCCAAAACACATCAGAATGAAAATGTCATATTTATATATCCAAGTCGGCTTTTAACTCCAACTCCTTCAAAGAGTTCTCTCAACCAAAACCAGAAGGCATCCCTTTTTAACTTTCATCTGAGGAGTTGAAACCCTGTTTTCGTCCAACGATGATGGCACCAACTTGTCCGTTCACCTGCTCTTTGATGTGAAACTCAAATCTGATGTGATCTAACATCCCATCCGAAGCATTGTCAAAAACTACAGGGGGGTTTCTGTTGCAAATGGTCACCATTCATCTTATCTTATTAAGTGTTGTCTGGTGTGGTCCAAGCCAAGGCTGATGTAGATTTTAGAGCAACAGTTTGGATTGTTTGAAGTGGGGTTGTTTGAGGGAGATGGTGATTTGAACAACCCAGTTAGGAAAAACAAATAGCTTCTATGAGTTCTGATCAAATATCAAAACATTTAGTAAACTCATTTTTCATTTTGAACCTACTGTACTTCATACAACCTAACTTCAAACTATCAGAACTATCCATTAAAGGAAAAGTCATGGCAAATAGTGACACAAGGAAATCTGCCTTACACTGCAACAAATGTGATTCAACAAGCAAGATGATAACATTTACAAGAGATGGTAAACAAACTGTTTCCCACTGTTTCCATTCTCTGATGCTAAGCTAAGCTAACCTGATGCTGTCGATTGCTTCATATCTACAGTACAGAAATGAGGGTGTTATCAATCTTTACATTTAACTCTAAGAAAGTAAGCACCACACAACCAAGTGTGTTTTGTCTTTGACTTGAGCATTTCACTCTGTTTCAGCTGCATTATGGGTCTGGCTGACAGGGTAGGTGACGTGTGTCTCTACTTTTTTTAGATTTTCTGTTGTGAGTCTGCAGCACAGTAGGCTTTAGCTCCTGCGGTTTTCTTCCACAGTTTTAAAGAAGAAGCAGGGTTTTAAATCCCTCACCCTCAAGTTACAAACACACTTCCTTCTGACTGCTGGCACTACTGAAAAAAATGCAATAAAACAGAATACGCCTTGTGTTTGTTGTTGTACTATCATAGTCAACATTGCTGCTAATTGAACATGCACCAGTCTTAAACCAGTATATCCAAGGATTCCTCTGGAGTCATTGAGATTTAGATTTCAATTAGATTCTGGTTGCTGTCTGCTTGTCTTTGGTTCAAAATTGGAAGAACAAGCCAAAGAAATACAGAACGTGGTTGATGCAGAAGTTTAGAAACAATTACCGAGTGAGATAACTTCACAGTCGCTTGTTTTCTCAGTAAACACACCGTGCTTGCTTGTTTTGACTTATGAATAACTTCAGCAATGTGTTATCATATGCCCCCCCCCTCTCTCTTTCCGAGCTGTCTTTATCTTTGTGTTACATCTCTCACACACATGCATGAAAAACTACAGTTAGAACGTCAACAACTCCACAAATGGTCTGCACTATAAACTCAAAGTAATAAAAGTGGATCATTTTTTAGTGGTTTTCACACACCAGACTGCTTTCCTCTCCACAGAGGAAGGTTCATCTGTTCCACGTTACTGTGCATGTATTAAGAAGCCTAAACATGGATTTATGGACCAGTTAGGTCACAAAAATATATGCAGAACTATAAGTCATGTTGATATAGGGCGGAAAATATTTAATAATATCTAATATCCAGATTTAAGATAACAGTATGACAAAACAAAGTCAGTTGCTAGCATGTGACTATAGACAATTATTCTTCCTGTAAAACGTATTTGGTAAAACAAACTTGGATTACGGAAGCCAGCTTTACTCTGTACGGATATACAGACTGTGAGCCAGTAACAAATGCAGCATTCTAAATAATATGACAGTTAAACAATCAAGCCTTAGCATCAAACACACAAATGCACAACATATACAGTACATATAAACGTGTCCTACATGTTTCCTCAGACCCTGTGAGATGAATGGCTGACCTTGGAGCTCTCTGATTGGCTGAACTCTCTCCAGCTGCTGTCATGGCCAAAAGTCCGGAGGTGAAGCTGGCCGTCTTTGGCAGAGCCGGGGTGGGCAAGTCAGGTAAAGTGATGATAAACTATTCAAATTGTAAAGTGTGCGTAGATCATAATAAACCATTGGCCCTCACTTTCTGATCTTCTGGTTATTTAAATTTCCCAGAACTAGAGGATGGATTTTTCTCTTTACTTTGATGCCTGGAATCTCCTTGAATCAGTTTCCAGGAAACATTTAAAAGCCTTAAACACGGCTGAAGTGTCTGCAGGTTTATGGGTGCGTTTTGTTGTTTCTGCTCATTTTATGTTGTCCCTGTGGGCCTCAGCATGACCTCTTCTTTCTAATGTTTCCCTCCAACATCCTGTCAGTGTTTTTACACACGCCATAATTCCTCCTCCTGCTCAGTCTGTTTGTGTAGTCAGCACTACAGTAGGAGGTTGTTTTTGGTCTGGCTCAAATACCTTCACTCCCACAGATAAGTCAGTTGTGTCATTATCATTTCAGCGTTCCTCTGTGAGCTGCGTTAGCTCAGCTGGAGCCTGCTATATTTTCTCCAGTAGCCGACACAATTACACAAAACATATGTTTCCCGAGCGCCAGCAAATCAAATGAAGACGGATTGCTTCTGCGTAACCATCAGCGGTTGGAACTCATGCTTAGAAAGCTCTTCCATGTCAAAGAAGGTCATTAAAATACCTGAGGAGGTTAACTCAAGTACTGTACTGTAACATAATGACTGCAGAGTTCACAACCTTCAGCTGAAAGGAGTGTGGTTGTAAAACATGTGAGGCTGAAGGTGTGTTTAACCCTGTACAGGAAACTGGGACATTAAAGCTCCCATCTGCAACTTTCTTCCTGAACTATAGTCTGCTATTAGCCCTGTCAAACCTGCCCTGATCCGCTTCCATGGCTTCAATCTTTCCATATCCCAACGTTATTACTGGGACTTCTGCTCAGTGGCTGTGTACCTTGTGATCATCATTTAAAGAGGACATATTCTGCTCATTTTCTGTCCATATTTATATTTAGTGTCTCTACTGGGACATGTCTCCATGCTTTAATGTTCACAAAGCTCTTTATTCTTCTCATACTGCCTGTGCTGCAGCACCTTTTTTCACCCTCTGTCTGAAACCAGAGCCCAGTCTGCTCTGATTGGTTAGCAAGCCGGCTCCGTTGTGATTGATCAACCGCTTAGCGATGTATTTTGGCTTTACTGTATACCTCTGTTTCTTCACTGTAGTGATCATAATCACATTTGGGAACTTGCAAGAACATGTTCAGCACAAACTCATGCTTGCTGTCAAATTGTTTTTAATACCAAGTCCCCTTTCACATGGACCATTGACAGTGCAAATCATATAAACAAGGCATCAAATCAGTGGGAAGGGGGGGGACATTCTGCAATGAGAGAGACATAGGCATATATGCTTTAGGCCAGGATGAAGGGACTAAGAGGATACATTATTTTTATAAAGTCCGATTTAAAAGGGCTAAGGATGAATCACTGAACACATTCGTTAATCAGAGCATTCACATAAGAACGTCACTATATCAGGGCCAGGAAACCCGTTTGCAGTTTCAGTAAAAGTTCACGTTTTGAAAAAAAGAAATTCAGGCTGTTATTCATAAAAGATATTTCAGATCCCAGGAGTTCCCGGGGCTTGGAAGAGGACAGTTGAGTCATGCTCTTTATAATGCACAATAAGAGACACGCAGCAGGATGGTAGTTATTGTTCTCATCTGACGCTACATGTCTCCCTGGTAAGCCCTTCAACAAATGAACAGCTCTCAGCTAAACATAGCCTTTCAGTGGAAGCCCACACATGCTAATGAATCAGCCTTCTCTTAAATGGGCATTGGGACTCAATCCGTATTCTCCCACTGCATGCACAATATGGGAGAGGGGGGTAAGATGAACACATTTGACTTATGTTGTCCTCTAAGCAATGAACATTTAAGAAGATTCAAATGACAACAACAACCGTTGATAATAATGTGTCTATCACAAAGGACACTAACCAAGGGGTACATTGATCCGAGTCGAAGGCTAAATGGAGCCATCTGGGGTTAAACTGACCAGTTGAGTTTTTCAAGCTTAAGTGGTTTGGTACAGGAATGCTGTTTCTGTTTGCGTTTTCATGTCAATTGTTAGACACTTGTTATCCACTTTTTAACAACATGCTGACTGATCAGAGCATCGTCCTTAGCAGCTGCCTGTTAGCGAAAATCAACAATCATATCTCTGGAATGTCCAAATTGACCAATAAGAATTGAGTATTCAACTAAGCTGTGTAATAAATATGAATAATATATATTTACTTAATTATTTATTTGTAAAACTCACAGTAGGATGTTATATTTTTAAACACACACACACAGTGAGTGGATCCCGGTACTAAAGGTAATCCCTTGTGAGATTTTAAGGAGTATATTTTCTATGCTCTATGATCATGTCTGTAATATTTATATTTGTCACTAATATTGATGCATATATATATATATAGGGTGGCGTGTGGCGCAGTGGGTTAATGTGCCGATCTTCGAATCAGAGAATAGCAAATTTGCGTCCCACTGCAGTCAGCATGTCGTTGTGTCCCTGAGACATGCTGACATTGCTCCTGTGGCGATTGCCCACAGTATTGAGTATGTAAGTTGCTTTGGATAAAAGCGTCTAACAAGTGACATGTCATGTAATAATGTAATTTAATATATGAGGGAAAACATGGCAGCAGGTGATTTACTCTGCATGCTGGAGCTCGAAGCCACTCTTTCCTTATGTCGAATTGCAGGTTAGTTTTGATTAAATGTAAATAGAAAGAGCTGTGTTGCCATGACAAGCAGAACAGAATGTTGTTGAAATGTAAAGGTGCACCACTTAAAGGGAGGGAATCCTCATGACACACATTTTTAAATAATTATCATCCGATAAAACAGACCAGTCTCTGCCAGTCTTTTTAAAAAAAAATTAATCCGATGACGTTATCAGTGATTTTAAGCTGATTAATTACCGAAATAACATCAACCCTGTGGGCGGCGCCATCTTGANTATGTAAATATGGTCATGCTAATAAAGCTTTTGAATTGAATTGAATTGAACTTCTTATGTCACAGTCTGCAGTCTCTGGCTGCTTCTCACTTCTCTTATTTTCAATTCAATTCAATTCAAAAGCTTTATTAGCATGACCATATTTACATACAGTATTGCCAAAGCTATGTATAGTTGTAACATCTATAGGCTACAAATACACACAAATAAACAGATAAACAGTTATTATTATTTTTTACAAGGAATACAGATTCATTTCATTCATATAATACATGAATACAAAATAGAATATGATATATATACTTAAGATGTGAGACCTGGTGTATCTGCTCATTCCGGTTCCCTCAGACTGTGGCAGGCAGAGACAAACTGTCCTGCCACAATGCAGCTCTCTTTATATTCCCCGAGAAGTATTTTTAGTTTTTCATTTTTTTTTTTTAATAATTGAGGATGCTTATGAATGAATTTTGGGAAGAATTGTTTCCGTACAGGTTCAAAAGTTGGGCATTGTGTGAGGAAGTGCTGCTCTGTCTCCACAGCAGTTCCTCCACACTGTTGGCATGATCGCTCCTCTTTTGGCAGCCATGTTTTCTTGTGCCTGCCTGTTTCTATGGCCGGGCTGTGAGCACTCAGTCTGTACTTTGTGAACAACTTCCTGTGTTTAACATCAGTCACTGTGGTCAGGTAGGCTGCCAAAGTGTACTGTCTTTTTAGGGCCAGATAGCATTGCATTTNGAAACTACCATGAATTTAAGAAAATTGTAGAAATGAATCTAATCTGAATTTTGAAGCATTCCTTTAGATCCCCTCCCTCTAAATATATCAATAAACATTAGAAAGTGATGCTCCTGACTACCATACAAGTTTAAGAAGATAATATTGGTTTTAAAGAATTTAAAGCTATACATAAACAGCAACAGGCTCTTTAACCAAGGCAATGTTAACCTAACATGTAAACTAGTTCACACTAATCCTAATATTATCACTTAATATTAGCAAATTCTATTTTATTTTCTTAAAACATATTGATTTAAATACATACACATATCGATTTGTTGTATAAATATTGCAAATGAAAACCTTTATTCACTAATAATTACCAAAAATCGTAGTTCTATCTCCTGTTATCAATGCATTCACATTGCCCGCCATGAACTTCCGGGGAACGATCGTCGTCTACATGAACCACGTGACGATAACCGTTTTTGGACTTCCGTTGTCGTAACTCTTCTATCTATATGGCGCTGGTACAGTGTAATGCTTGCCACAGGCATATCTCAGTTCAAATAAAGCACAGCTATTGTGCAATACATTTGTATTGCATGTATAGTTTTTATTTGTAAAAATATCAGTTAAAGCTTAAAAGAATAAAGATATTTTTGCTATCCAAACGTTTGACCTCTTTCTTTTACAATTTTGGAATCGAAACGGGGAACCGATAAGAACCGGAATCGATAAGCAGAACCGGAATCGGAATCGATACATTTAAAACGATACCCACCCCTAATACATACAGACTAGTTATTTTTCCTTTTCTGACCACTTTCTCCATACTTTCGTCTCTCTCTTCATACCTCTGCACTTCGCCTTGGCCATCACATTTTACACACCCACAGACTCCAAAACCCACAACCCCTTGCGGCTGCTACTCTTAAAGTGACAGGCCAAGCCTGTAACAACAGTGTCTGACATTATCATGTTATATCATTACTGTCATATGATTGCTTACTATTCGTGGTTTTCAAGTATCAGACACTTAAACAACAGAGAAGGTTTTAAGAAATAGGACTATAATGACAAATGACATCTTATCCTTTAATTGTCTGTTCTGTAGGAAGGAGGAACATAACAGAGTGGGACTACACTTAAAAACGGAAGTGTGTTCCAATACGAAGATTGTGACAGATCTGAGAAGTGTCCTTAAAAAAACCCTCTACGCAATTGTATGTACATTATTTATTCAGCCGTTTGCTGTTTAATCTGATGGGAAAGATATCATTCAAAAGAGAGAAAGTAAATAGTGTCTTCCGTTTTTCCGCTTAGAAAACTAGGCGAACGCGCAATAAACGAGATTACGTCACCTTTGCGCGTCCCCGCGAACAGGGCTTCAATCTACGGCAAGCCTTCAACCTACGGCACAAGACCGGGACTCGAGCAGCTCCACTCCGTAGTATTCCCTTTGACCCTCCGTTTCTGATTAATTCATCCCGCGGAGAGCTGCAGCTCGGAACTGTCAGACATCCATACCTCTGCCTCCCCAGCTGGAGACCTTCTACCCCCCTCCATACAGTGGTGTGCTGTACCTCGACAGGTCAGACGCATCGGTTTTAATCATCGGACTTGACAACTTTTTCTATCTTCTCCTCTGCATCCTTCTCTTCCTGAGCAGCGTCTCACCGGGAGGCTGCTCTGCTCAGCGGGCTGAGGTGAGTCTTCTGCCGGGTCTCAGGGACCGCTGCTGCCCAGAGGTGTGGAGGATCCACCTGTGCTCAGGCGGAGATTTATTAGACACACAATAACGCCTTTTAGTACCCGTATTTCCTCTCATGAGTTAAATCCATATTTCTGATATACGGACACGGGTCATGTTTTGGTGTCCTGTGAATTTAGATATAGGCATAAGTATGATTTATGTTGAAATATAGATACTTTATTCATCCCAATTTGGGAAATTATTTTTGTCAAAGCAGCAGTGTTTTCAAGCATTGGACATGAGTTACAACATTAACGGCAAATATATTCAAATTCACGATAGAAAGGACATATATCACTAGAGTATCTAAATAATACACAATATAAAGAGAATACTCATAACATTTGAATACTCTTAATTTCATACAATTTCACTAGGCAACAGACACATTTATCAATATACTACAGAGAACATGTAGACATTGGATCATATTTACAACACAATTGTGCAAAGTAAAAAGTTGTTGTGGGAAATATGTTGCATATGTCTGCAGTCATCCTGTCCTTCGGAGAGGAGCTGCTGTTTAAAAGTTGTTCTCTGTTTCATTGTTCATGAAATTGCAGTTTGTCTTACTTTTCTGCTTGAGTTCGAGTACCCTCTGTAATTGTCATTCATGAGCAGCTCTCAGTGTTGCATAATAGCCCACATCCACTCCTGCAGGCCGGGGTCCGGGGGGCTGCCAGCAGAAATGAGGCGAGATAGGAAAACATAATTTACACTTACAGCTCCTCAAAGCTGCCATGCAGATATCAAGATACAGAGTGTCTACATTTTTCCCAATAAAGGGGATGCTACAGTAATGCAATACATTTACTCAGGTACTTACTTAATGCTAGTTACTTTGAAAACTAAGTATATATAGGATTTTCTTAAAAAGATGATGCTATTTGAACATTGGTAAAGCTAATTATAATAATGGTAATACAATTATATAAGGTGTACAGTTGTCGATGTGGAAGGGGCCTTTCTGGATAATAAAGCATTTTACTTTGAATAATTTAGAGACCCCTTCAAGTTTTGGATGCTAGCACTATGCAGCACTTTGGTATGAGTAAGCACTTCTTCTTTATATTAAAAACATTTTCCTGTGACTTTTTCTGGTATTTGTGTGTAAGGAAAGGACTTAACTGACTGAATATAGTTAGTTTTCTTTTCTCCGACAGCAGAGAAAGACTTAAATCTACTCAGAAAGAAGTACTTGTGATGAAACAAGGCCAAACTGGTCCAAGGTCAGGGTGAGGGTCCACTGACAGAGCCCTGTCCCTCAGATGAAAACACTGTCCCCCCCTGTTTGCCTGGGGAAGCAGTGTTCATGTATTCAGATTACAGGAATGTGGTTTGCAGGCTTTCTATAGCCTCTGTGCAGCAGGTCTCCTCCCATGGTTTGGAGCTCAGAGGTCTGTAATCTTCCCAACCACAGCACAACCACCCAGATTCATTTCTCAGGGGGAAATCGACACAAAACCCAGCTGGCAAAAAAACATACATGTGCCCAGTTTGAGAGTTTGGATGGGATCCTTGTAGAGCAAAGGTCCAGAAAACTACCATTACTGCCTCATGTTGTATGCCTCCACCATCAGTGAAGCTGCACTTAACATCCATTTTCCTCCAAAATCACCCTTTTATCCTATTAGACATGTATTTGTAATTGTCAAAATTAGCGCATGACTTATTGGGCACTTTGTGAGGACACAGTGACCTTTGACCTCCAATTTCTAATCAGTTCAACCTGGAGTCCAAGTTAATGTTTGTACCAGATGTAACACAATTCCCTTCAACTCTCTCTGGAGGGAACACAGGGATTGTATCCTTGGCAGACCATTTGCATTACAGAACACTAGAGGCAAGGGAATAGCACAAAAAGCTGAATATAATAATTTAATAATTATTTCTAATTTGTGTTCATTGTATTTTTTTAGTATTTTTTTTGATTCTGTCACTGTTATTACTTGTGTAAGTATACTGTAGTACATACATTGTTTTGTAGAGCACACTGACTGGTTGTGTGCAGTAGTCTGATACAGAGACAACTGTAATAATGATGCATCACTGTGTCGAGCAGAGAGAGAGAGGGGAGAGAGAGGAGAGAGAGAGAGGAGAGAGAGGGGGAGAGAGAGAGAGAAGAGAGAGCGAAGAGAGAGAGAGGAGAGAGAGAGGGGAGAGAGAGGAAAGAAAGAGGAGAGAGAGAGGAGAGAGAGAGGGGGAGAGAGAGAGGGGGAGAGAGAGAGAGGGGAGAGAGAGAGAGAGAGGAGAGAGAGAGAGAGAGCAAACGCATCCTCCAGGTTCACAGGAGAACAACTAACAACGCCTGCAGAGCGGAATTAGGCACATTAACCATTATTAATACAAATCCAGAAACGATCAATTAAATATTGGCTACATCTAAAAGAAAGTGACCCCGACTCCTACCACCACAAAGCCCTGCAGCATCAAGAGATGAACAAGAGTCCCCTCTCTCAGCTGGTCCTGACACTCTGTTCACAAACCGGTTCAAACTGTGATCAGGACCAGGCTGAGCCCACATCTTTTAGAGTCAACCAGATTATAACAAAACACACACAAAACTACCTCACTTATTGGAACACTAAATCCCAAACACAAAGTAAAATGCAATGCTATCTGGCCCTAAAAAGACAGTACACTTTGGCAGCCTACCTGACCACAGTGACTGATGTTAAACNTGAAACAATGTCCCACTACTTAGTAATAATAAATTAAAGCAATAGTCTTTTGTCAAAGGTCATAAAACCACCCTTTTGACTACACATGAAAAGTGGAAGAAAAGACTATTGCTTTAATTTATTATTACTAAGTAGTGGGACATTGTTTCAGGAATATATGAAAAGCCTCTCTATTATTTAAACAGTAAAAATGTACTTTCAAATTTAACACCCACGAATATATAAGGTGACATTAAAATGAATATACCAGATTGAACTTTCCTGCCATAACACGTTACTTTAATACTTCAAATAATTCAAATAATACTTCAATGTGTGATGGAAATTCCAAAAGAACCAATATACAAGCTTAAACCAAAGTTGTGTTATTTAATAAAGAGTTATAGCATTTAACAGAATCAAAATCCAACCAGAGAAGCAAGTGTATTAAATGAGACTTAATGATAGTTTTACTACAACAACATGCTTGGTTGAAGATGGCGACAGATAATGGCATGCAGTAAGACAATGTAAGAAACTCAGGGCTGGCCGCTATGCTGCAGCTTTTATTACTGAAGTGCCTGTTGTCAAGCTTTCAGCAGCTTAATATACAGGATACTGTGTGATGATACAAGAGGGTGCACTGACTCATTGTCATAACTGCAAATATGTATGCAGCAGCTGCAGACGCTACAGGTATGCTAGCACTGCAGGTATGTTAATTAGTTCATTAGAGAGGTATAGAGAAAATTCTGTTTCCTGTTGAAACTATGTTGCACATATGTTCTGAACATAATCTTAAAGAAACAAGCTCTGTTATGAATACAAAATAGTACTATACATTTGAAACTGGCCTACAGCAAAATACTGTATCTGAGTGAACACAGGGGCTTGCAATTTAGCTTACATGACTGACACATAGTCAAATTGTAGCTTCAAAGACGGCATTCAGTGCCACAGAGGCTAAATACTGTTTGATTCAGTCCGCCCTGTCTCAAATTATCCTCAGAAACAGTGATGAGTCATAGTCCTATAGATAGATATACAAATCAATGGCCTTTGTTCAAAGCTCTGTACAATGAGTCGTGATTCGATTTACAGAAAGAAAACAGAATTGGCACTTGAATCAAAGGAAGCTCAGATTATCAGAGTTGGATACTTAGGGGTAATCCATTCGATCATTTTCTGAAGCTTTTGTTGATTTTAAATTGGTTTCAGAGCAAAATGTAGGAGAAGATTTGTTATGATGTTTGATGATTGAGTGGGCTTCTATCTGTAGCATGTGGTGCGTCACCACAATATTTGTAAATATATCAACATCTACAGAAAGGATTGGCAATTTTTCTTTTTCAGACTCTTATGATTCAGCAGTGACTTGCCTGGCTTTTACTTTAAAAATTAAACATTCATAGTTTTGTCTGAAATGCAATTTTATTATTTGGAGTTTGTAACAAGGTTGAAGGTTCTTTATTTAGTCATACGAACATAGCTACAGTGTAGTTATGCCGATTAAATCTTGTGTCACAGGCTTCTCCAACAGAGCAAAATAAAACACAGATAAACAGAAAACATATAGTGCAAGTAAATAGTAATACAAAAAGAAAAATAGTTTTAAAAAAGTGAAATTGTGAAATAGTGCAATGAGAGTCTATATGCAAGTTATTGAAATAGGATATATAGGTAAATAGATACATCATTTTTTTATATTTTGTAAGTAGTAGCCAGATGAATATTAGGTATGTTGTTTCAACAGTTCAGGTGTTTAACAGATTTTGCTTAAACAGTTCAGGTGTTTAACAGTCTTATTGCCTGTGGGATGAAACTGTCCCCGAGTCTGGTGGTGTTAGTCCTGATGCTGCGGTAACGCCTGCCAGACGGCAGCAGACAGAACAGTTTCTGGTGATGGGGGTCTTTTATAATCTTGAGGGATTTCTTCCTGAGCCGCTGGGAGTAAAGGTCCTCCATGGATGGCAGCTCCGTCCTGGTGACGTTCTGTGCAGTTTTCACCACCCTCTGTAAAGCCTTACGATTGAGGTCGGTGCAGCTGCCGTACCAGGCCGTGATGCAGCCAGTCAGGATGCTCTCTATGGTGCACCTGTAGAAGGTCAGGATCCTCTCTATGGTGCACCTGTAGAAGTTGCAGAGTATCCTGGAGTCCATGTTGAACCTCCTCAGCCTGCGGAGGAAGAAGAGCGGCTGTCAAGCTTTTTTGGTGATGGTGGTGGTGTGAAGAGTCCATATCAGAGTATATTCACTTACTATTCTTATTCTTATTACGCAGAACTGACCAAAG